GGGAGCAAGGGACAGAAAGAGAGGCCAAACAAGAGGTGTGAAGTCGGAATAGGTGTAGAGAGGTGTGAAATTAAACCTGCAATGAATAGTGAAAATTTAGAAGAAAAGTAGTCTGTTGTTAGGAGAAGGGGGAAGGTGTGATCCTAGCTGCAGGATAATTTTGGTTTCTGTAGTCTTTCTGATGTATGAGTTCGGAAAACCGTCTTTGAGAACAACTTTCTTCTTTGAGCTGTTCTGTTCTTAGAGGATAACACCATAGGGTGTCTTTGAGAACAGCTTATAGAATCCTATAAGCCCTGATTACTTTGGCAACATCCATCGTTCCATTTTAAAACTAAAACTTTATTCAGTACAGGGTCACGGGTGGAGCCAGAGGCGAACCTGACAAGCGATGGATGTAAGGAGGGATACACCCTGTATGGGGTCTGAATTCATCACAAAGTGCACACAGACTCGAACATGCACACCCACCCACCACGACCAATCTTAAACCAGTTTACCTACCAGCATGTTTTGGACAAACTCATGCAAACAAGATTAGATTGTCACACCCCCTGCAGCCAGAGGGCGCTCCTACTCTGTCCTGTCCCTAGTTTCCCATGCTTTGCTCTCCTTCCGGTGTCTCTCTCTCTGGTGCTATATATTTCCGGGTCACTTATGCTCCTGTGATCAGCATTGACGATCGGATGTCCTGAGATCCGGCTGGCACCAGGTCGCCCCATGTCCGCTGCCTGAGGGCATTGGTTTCTATACGACTCCCGAACTGCTGAGCCCGGGCTAACCCCCCATTCCACCGCTACACATATGGGTCTTTTTCCGCTCTCCTGCCTCTCCACGGTTTGTCCGTTCTGACATCCATGACAGAGATCTTACAAACTCTACATAGATAGCACCCTAGTAATTTAACGCAGGGTCCCAGAGCTGCACGGCAGCAATGCTAATCACTGCACCACTCTGCAGCCTGAAACACCATCATTAACAGAGAAAAAGGAATTCCTTTTACCTTCAGTCTTGATCCGCAAGGCAGTTCTCACCAAAGCAAAGAGAGTGGCATTAAACATGACTGTGCCATCACTGTTGAGAGGCATGTTCATGGATACCAGTCGCTGTAGAGAGAGAAGATCATTTAACCATTGACTGGGAAAATGTAATCAGTCATGAATGGTCCTTAGTTACCAGTGCTTTAGTAATTTGAGACATTCTCTACAAACACTTTCAGAGTTAGAATGTCCAAGCCTTTTGATTCAGCCATAATGATGGGCCTATACTCAAACAAATATATAGCACGTACTGTATTTACTGTAACTATAAAAAAAAGCTTACAGAGTAACTTAATTTTGGCTACACTAAATATAGTCACATTGCTTGTGTTCATTCCTCATTTGAACACATTTTGTGACTGTATAAATTTAAAATATAGCAATAACAAATATAAAAATACATATTGCTAGTGAAATCAAACAGTAAATAGTATAATCAATTACTGTATTTACTATTCAGTTTTTAAAGTAAAGAACAGCTGGATTGACAGCCAGGTCAGGTTCTCTGGATGCTTATAAAGATTATGCAAAATATTGCAATATGTTTACCCCTGCACTGATGTTTAAATAAACAAATATGAATTAAATATATAAGAACACTCTAAATAATACAGCAATACTTTACAGTAACAAGTTAACATCCCTCTATTTTTAAAATACCTTCCCTGTTCCTGCATATAAAGGTCATAGCATGCTTGGCTGTTACATTGGTAGATCATTAAGTGACACACAGACTAATTTAAAGGGAACTCTGAATACGCCCCCCACTTGAAACATGTTGCAAATTCATCCATCAATTTTCTAACTGCTCTAACTGCAAAGCCTCTCCTGGCAAGCAACGGGCAAGCTACTGTAGGATACACCCTGGATGTAATGTCAGCCCCACAGAGACATAAAAAAAACAAAAAAGCAAGTTAAGCTACTCTGTATGTCTTTGGACTGTGGGAGAAAGTCCACAAGAACATAAGGAGAACATACCAAGAAGCATCTTATCTGGCATTTGAATCTAAAACCTTCTAGTTAGAAGGTCAGACACCAAACCACTGCTAGCCATAAGGTAGTTACTTATACTGGATTCCTGGATTATTTTATAAACTGAAATTCTAGATGTCAACGATAAGATCAATAATGCACGCCGTGGAGTAAATCTCAGCACATGCTGAATATGATGCCCCATACTCAATACAGTGAACACTTAGCTGCAAAAATGCACTGTCAAGTTCTAGATTTTGGAAGACACGTCAGTGATATTGAAACAACAGGCAGGTTGAAAGTACAGCCAAAGGCAGATTAATGCTGTCTTGCAATTAACATGTTTTTACAGGTTCCTTATTTTTAATTGATATCCAAGATGTTGAGATGTCTTTCAATGGAAAATAAGAGGAAGATCCATGAACTCAGCGTGTCTTCTTTTAGGAGTACTTAAACAGGTAAGTTGCTGGAGGAACATATAGTTTCCAGTATATACAGTATATCATTTGAAATCTCTCTACTTTTTCTTTAAGACATTTGGCTCTTTTACTCAAATATCAGAACTGTGAACAGCGGATCAAGCCCAGAACAAATTAACTGCTATTTGGAAACGTAACCTCCTTTTTCCACCTAAGGACAAGAGGAGACCCTGGATCTTGAGTGTTACCTTGCAGGCCACACGATGAGGACAGAGCTTTCCGAATCCCAAAGGGGGCTGTATTCTGCGTAGTAGAGTCACCACATCTAAGTGCTTTATCCTTCCCCTGCAAAAGACAGCACAGCAAGATCTCAGCTACTGTAAACATGTAAGGCGTCACTGCTAGACAAAAGTGCGGACATCATTCCTCCTCCTGTCTACATTAACCATAAAGCAAGGTTAATTTTAAATGATACTTTTGTTATTCAGAATTTTTTTTTATGTACCATGTGAATATAAGGCAGTTTAGATACTTTTTTCTCTGATGATTCCTTGTAAAAGCATTCATCCCATTGCAATGATGTAAAACAAAACTTCAAAAATTAAAATGTCGATTGCTTAGTATTCACCCCCTTTGTCTGTTCTTCCTATAGCAAATCTTTAGAAATTAGATCCAATACACACAATTACCTTGTCCTGTCACATAAATAGTTGAATGGCCTCTTTATGTGTCTAATAATAGTAGATTATTTATGTTATGTGGATTATTTAAATATTTCTAGCGTCATGCTTCCAACTAGCTTGAACTCAACTACCTAACTGATGGACCTTACAGAGAAAGATGTTTGTATTCTGAAGTCATGTACTGGCACTGAATGAATGGCTGGTGTAAGACTTCCTCACAAAACATCTACAGTATATATCTACAATATATAGATCTACAGTATATACTGTATACATCTATCCCCATAGGATTCTGAGGAAGATGTTTTCTTAAAAAGATTAGTACCAAGCATTCTAAAAGCAACAAATTGACTTAATATTTCAGAGATTGTTGAAGAGTAATCAGGGTCTCCCCTAATAACAGGGGAAGACAGATTCTGAAATGACCTTAACAAGTTTTTAAACTAGCAGTACTGAATTGGGTGAATCATTTTCACAGACAGATATCCCCGTGTTCATGGGAGAAGAATGGAACAAATCCCCACTTTGAGTCAACTGGGAAAAACAAATTAATATCCCAGTCACCAGGTGAGTGGAATACATGTTTTTGAACAAGGTACCTAGGGTGTCCCCAGGAGAAAACGGAAAATTTGTCACTTGTCACTCTTTTTCACTTTGTAATGGACAAACTGACTTTGAAAATAGCACGTTTATTGACTTCACGTTCTGATTAATACTGTCATTTACTACATCTTTTATAATATTTTAAGATTGTGAATTGCAATTAATGTCTGGTAAAGGTGTTTTCCATTCAGAAATAGCTAAAAACCCACTGGAGACAAATATACTAAGAAGAATAAAAGAATATATTTTGAAGACAGTTACTGACTTGGCTTCAGGGTCGTATTCAGCCCAGATTCTCTTGAACTCATCGAGGTGGTGTGGCCCCAGAATGGACCAGTCTCTGGTCAGGTAGTCAAAATTGTCCATGATAACCGCAACAAAGAGGTTAATGATCTGTGGAGGGAAAGAGTATTCAACATACTCTAGTTTGCACAACTTTCTAAAATGAGTCCTGTAATTATTTTATATTTTATATTTCAATTTAGGGTAAGTTTGACAATAAAGGTTTTAGTGCTAGTTTAGCAGTACAAACAATAGCTTTACTGTCTTTTCTGGAAAAGGGAAGCACATCAGCTTTTACTGAAGATAATTGCCCTAGGTCTGAAAAAACTGATCTTGAACTAAATACAGACAGTAATCACTAAAATAAAGGAAAGTTCTAAGTGTACCATGATGTATATTTCAGGAGCTCAGTTAGATTCGTATGAAAATGATACAGTGACAAAATATGTGTAGAGTTTTTGGTGTTACTTGCCTTGCTGAGGGAATGCTAGTCTAGTTGTGAGGATAGGCTGTGCGAAGCTCACCAAAAAGACACCCCCACATGCTTTTCGCACAAGCTTTGGGCTGGCTGGACCAGTTCAGATATACACGTCATACAATTGGGGGGGATGAAGAGAATAGTATGCACAAAGAGATTCGTGAAAGCTGATGATGGAATTGAACTTCTAATAACATAACACACGCTTTGACCTGACTGATCAGTTTTACTTGTATGAAGTGGTCAGTATTGTTATAATGAAATCAGAGCGCAAGCACTGTAGTGATGCATGAGAGTAAAGGTGTAGTGGCCGGTGAATGGGTGGCAGCAGAGCTTGGTATCGGACAGCCCTGGTAGGTGCTGTAGTTCCCTTGCTGCAGATGGGCCAATGAGCAAACAAGGCTGCTATGGATATTGGTAAAATGTGGAGCCACTAAAGTGAAAGTGAATGGGATGGGAAGTCTGCAATGACAGATGTGGAAGATGTCTTATTCCTAACTTTGGTCAAGAGATAACCAAAGATATGTGTATAATATGAAAGTGTGAAGAATTTGTCAATGGAGGCAGTTACTTGAGTATACACATACAGTATAATGTCCATATAATGGTAGTAAAAATGTGCTTCAGATTGCTCACAGTGGTGTATTCTGTGTCCCCTTTAAAAATTTTGAGATTGATAATTTCTTATAGTTTATGCTTTGTATACTGTAATCACATATATTATATATACAGTACCTTTAGCTGTATGGTACGTAGCGTAACACCTGGAGGTTACAGTGTTTAAAGTACCTTGAGTTGGTCAATATAAAACATATACTGTACTTAGTGAAGAAATCAAGATGTGTCTCTAGAAAAAGAAGGAATGAACATTGCCAGACTGTGGGACTCACCAAGAAGGCACAAAGCATGTAGAAGCTGACAAAGTAGAAAACGGCAAAGATGCTGCCACAGTCCTCACTGGCACTTCCCGTCTCGGAGCCCGTTTCACACTTCTTCACGGGGTAACACGCCAGCATGATCTCTTGCCATGCTTCCCCAGTCGCACACCTGAAATGGACACAATCACAAAAGACGCTCAACTTGTAAAAGAGTCATTTAAATCAAAGTACCAGCAGACATGGAATTATTTAGATTGAACTTTTCTATGTATCTTTGCAGCAGTCAAAGTAACATACAGTACACGTGACTTTACTTTCCATTGCTAACATCCTGGTATTTTATAATAAAACCCATAGAGAGAGTCTTTATTATCCCCGGGAGTAGGTCAAGTTGTTTTACAGCAGCAGTGCTGGTGTACAGACGGACAGAAGAAAAAAAAATGACAGGAACAACAATATACATACCATAAGTAAAAATAAAACTTTAACAGATAAACTAAAACACACGAAAAACCGCCGCAGTGCGCAGCGCCCTCCTCCTCCATATTCAATGATTTCAAAAGTGATTTGTCTTGTGCATTGCTTTTAGGAATTAAAACATGATGTTTCATCTGATTTCATCTGACACTTTGCTAAAGACCCATGATAAGCCAGGGAACAGAAAAATAGATGTTCCTACTTGACATTTATTGAACTGACCTTTTGGAAATTGTTGATGGGCACCTCAAGAGGACCATGCCTCACTTATTGTATCAAAAACAATGTATGAGAGACAGCATCATGCAAACAGGATTAGTAAAAGTCACTTATTGTAAATAACAAGGCATGCTGTTCATAATAGAAAGAAACATGACAGGAGTATTACTTTAGTTGCAATATTGGTGCAGTAGGGGTAGCATAGCACTATGTTATTCAGAACCCTGATACTTTCTCTTTGAAGCTACTGTAGTTAACTGACACCCAACAAAAGCCTATCCAGCATTATCCAGTATCCAGTATGTCATCTTCCATAACAGGCTCCGTCCTAAATAAAGGATATTACATTCACCCCTCTAAACCCATCCTTAGCTTTCACAGCAGTGTCAGCAGCTTATAATTAATAATAATAATTGTCACTTATACAGTTATACAGTATAGTGCTTTTCTGGACACTCCACTCAAAGCTCTACAGGTAATGGGGACTTCCCTCCACCACCACCAATGTGCAGCATCCACCTGGATGATGCGACTGCAGCCATAGTGCGCCAGAACGCACACCAGTGGGGAGGAGAACAAAGTAATGAAGCCAATTCATAGATGGGGATTATTAGGAGGCCATGATTGGTAAGGGCCAATGAGAATTTTGGTCAGGACACCGGGGTTACACCCCTATTCTTTACAAGAAGCGCCTCGGGATTTTGAATGACCACATAGAGTCTGTATATTATACTATACTGGGGCATAAGGACCCACATGGACCCCAGGGTGAGCGCCCCCTACCGGCCCCACTAACACCTCTTCCAGCAGCAACCTTAGTTTTTCCCAGGAGGTCTCAGATCCAGGTACTGACCAGGCTCATACCTGCTTAGCGTCAGTGGGTTGCCAAGTACCAGTACCAATGCACCCTATTATTGGTGTGCTGGGGGAGAATTCATCTCTATTCAGTTCGCCAGGGGGTGATGCAATGTGCTATTACTGAAGAACACATTTGTTCACAATAATCAAAGTTAGACTAGAAATCAAAGAGACCTAGTGTATAAAAGAGCTAAAGGCACTTAGTTAGGAGACTAATTCCATCTAGTATTTTACAGAGGGCTACTAACAACGCCTAGGTTTACTGCACATACAGAGGCCTAAGATAATAAAAAAGATCTTTATAACTCTTTTTATATCTTACTTTTATTTTTCAAAAGAAAACATCTATTTCATCTCAGCACATTTACCTGAAGAGCAGTAGCACGGCCTGCGGGAAGGTTTGAAAGTTGTTGTTTCGGTTGATTTCACTGTTGTCCTTCAGTGCAATCTTACCAAACATCTGTTAAGGACACATTAAAAGACATGAAAGACGTATTTTTCTTTTTCATTTACCCTAAACGTACAGTTCTGAATATAGAAAGAACAAAAATAAGAAAACTAATAACAGGGTACACATATTAAGAGTGAAGGTTTAATTTAATTCATCAAAGGGCAAACGTTAAGGCCAAGTTAGTCTTGGGATATTCAAGGAAGTAATATGCCTGTAAGGAAGCACTGTTCACATAATTAAACTAAAAATCTCTTTCAAGCCAACCAAAGAAAACTCTAGCGTCTAAAAATGGACGCTAATGTTAATGTGCTGGAGTTCTTTCGATGGAAGTAAAAGTAAACCTAACAAAATACATAGTCCACATTGACTGACTCCACCTTTAAGAAGAATCCCCAGAATTAACTGATAGTAATGTGGGTTGGGATGGAATAACTTTGCATCTTAAGAATGGGATTTGACAATTTTCTTTGATTGGTGTCCAGAAAAGCACAGTCCACTTCAACACTCACCTGCATTCCAATCACAGCATAGATGAAAAACAGCATCACTATAAGAAGGGCAACATACGGCAAAGCCTAAAAAAACAACAAAAACATTATCTTTTTTCCAAATTTTATAAAAACTTTATAAAAACTTAAAGTCCAGTGTGATTAAAAGATGAACTGAAAATCATATGGGTGGCATAGCTAAGAATAGCTTAGACATGAAGCAGTGACAATCTAAAACCCTTTAAGAAAGCCCTACAAAATAATAACAAGGTAATTTTAAAAGCCTGTTTTAAGGCATAGCAGGCACACATATTTTGCTGAAAGATTAAGCTTTAAGGCTTTTAGACATTTTTGTGGAAATGTTAAACTTCCACCTAAGCTTTTGAAGAACCTGATAGACTAATAAGTTCAGAGGCATATCTTCATCTTTCTCAGAAATGCTATTCATTCAGGAATTTCTAAATGTACAAAATAAGAACACTAAATTTAAAACATGTTTTGGACTTAAATAGTTGAATACAGAACAAATAACAACTTCTAAATAATGTATGAATTTAAAATGAATATGTACTACAACCCTCCAGCCAGACTGCGGATTATCCTACTACTACTACTACTACTACTACTAATAATAATATGCATCAAGACTGAAAATTTGTATCATTCCGGACCTGCACAACAGCATTACCAAACTCACACAACGTACATTTGGGATCAGAAATATTTATGTGCTTGCAGAGAACACATTTTACATGCTTCCTTTCATTCTGGAGCTCATAGCAGTGGTTATGTCAGAAAACTGTTAAAGATGTTCTTTGAGATATGAGTTATACACTGTTTTCAGTGAGAGTCAAGACCATAATCAGCATATTGACTTTTATTAAGAACCGGATAAAAGTGTACTCTTTCCTACAGAAGTCAGTACAAATTCCAAGCAACTAGAGTTCTGCATATATTCTCCTTTTTGCAGTAGCAGTAATACTACTTATGTGTGTTTTTAAAAAATACAGTACTGTATACACATAACTCTAATACACATAACATATTAACAATTATATATAACAATTCACATATACAATGTATTACACATACACATAATACACTATTACGCATAACTGAAGCATATAAAAAATAACATAAAAAGGCTAAGGCCTGAAACACAGAAAAGGAGGAACTTAACTGAGCAATTGTGAACCACAGTATCTGATCCATTTTGTGTTTGCCTGTTCACCTCTAATGAGACATTATGTTCCTCGTAGCCCCCATCCCTGCTGGGAGCTGAGTCTCGCTTACCTGAAAGGACTTGATGAATGTCCATAGCAAGGTCCGTATCCCCTCCCCCCGAGACAGGAGCTTCACAAGCCTCATCACTCGGAAAAGCCGGAAGAAGGTGATGGAGATCCTGGCATTGTCTTCTGTGTTCTGTAGCCCCTTTTTTATATACAGTACACATACATCGGGTTACCAGGCCGAACCTCAAGGCACTGATCACACTCTGACACAACAGCCTGGAGAGAACTGGGCAAGCACGGACATCCTAGTGGCTTTAAAAAAATCGTTCACACTGTCTGTTACTAACCTTTCCAGTCAAATATTCTAGTATTAAGGAGGAATTGATGCCAGATATCACTAATTTCCTGACTCTTTACTCTTAATTGTGTTCTTATAAGGTCTGATCTGTGACTGTCCACAAAAGTAATCATCATACTATCGTCATATGACATTGGAACAAACCTTACTCAGTTTTGCAAACATTAGTTGTCACCTACTGAAGTTTCTTTGGTTTTATGTATACTTATAGGAAGGTCATTAACTTTCAAATGTCATTTAAAATTGTTTAATATTCTGACTTCTTGAAGGCTATTGCTCTTTTTTCAGCCAATAATTCATATTATACATTGGGTGTTTCAATTATTATTGAAAATATTATGGCCCGTACTGAACAATATTGTAGTGTTCTGTCCCCAAAGATGGACTTCTGGGACTGCTCTTTGACCTTTCCCCTTCCCCCCCCCCCTACACATAGTTCTATTTTTTCACTCTACCTCCTATAAATGTGGCCTGCCAGGGAATGCTGCACTCCTTTTCTTTATTTCTCTACCACTCTGAGTGACTAGTGGAACATTGTTAACTAACAATGTTCTTATAAACACCAAAAAACTACTGTGAGCTTGCAGCTCTGGTGCTCTGCTCTCACTCCTACACTCACCACCTTAGCAGGGAAAAGGGTAGATTGCAATAGGTCTCATAACTTATTGTGAGTTTCAGCTGATACAAAGAAAGGCAATGGGTTCAGGTCAGTTAGCTGTTAGTAACCCTTCTGAGTCACATAATTGCATTCTAGAGGTTCTAGATATAGTATGCTTGCTACACCCAATGTGGCTAATTGTTTAGAACAATGAGAATAAGACATCAAGCCACTTTTGAGTATGTCTACGAATCAAAACAGTTATTACCATTAATACTTTTTCCAAACTTTACAACTTTTGCTCACAAAAAACTAAGCATAATGAAAATGGTGGGTGCAAACTTTAAAACGTCACCTTATATACTTTCATTCCTTTATTTGCAGGACATTTTAATAGAGTACATTGGAATGGTGTAAAACTGGTTTCTCTGCATGTATGCTAGCATAATCTATTAGGAAAGGGTGATATTGTTTCTTTCCTTAATTTTAAAGAATGTATGTCTCACAGAATATATCCTAAAGTTGTCCCATAAGAATCCTACCATCTGGTAGATATGTCATTCTCACTTTGTGATTAATAATGTGATAATGGCACTTTTATACAGAAAAGTATATCCATATCCTTGGCTTTAACAAAACAGGCAATGCCTTGCCTGAAAATGTTGTCCCCCATACTGTCTCCTGTGATTTCTTCAGCAGTAAATTGCAGTTTGGCCACTTGCTGTTATCTCTGGTCAATGGTTCTTACCTCCCTAATTTAAAGCAGGAATCTGGGCTCACCTGGCCACATGGAATCAACTCATAATGATAGTCCTTTGAAGCAAAATCACACAATTAATTCTTCAGAGACAGAACAGTGCAAAGAGGTCCAGCAGACCATGGATGGTGCTTATTATGGCATTTCATGGCCTAAACCTGCTTAATATCAACTTGCCCATGAATATCAGGAAATAGAGGTAACCTTGGTCAAATAAGATGGGAAGATATAATTTTCTCTGATGATTCAAGGTTTAATCTGCATTTGTTGATGGAAAACCTTTTGCACAGAACTGGGTTATTGAAAAAGATTGGTTTGGTGGAAAAGGAATGATGGTGGGATGTGCAATTATTGATAAGTTTGAGAATCTATTTTTAGAAAGGATAGTCTCTAAATGCAGCTTGGACAACTTCTTGCATTTTGCAACCAGTTTTCCTTCCACATTTAGCGCTACCTCGCTGACAAAGACAACTACTTTCCCAGTATCGCAATCCTCCTCCAAACATGACCAGGGCTACACCGGCATTCCTTTGTGCAATGTTCCAGTATTGGATTGTCTTTTATGGGGAGGAACACACCTGAACAATTGTGTGATGAATTGGAATGTAGTTTCACAGCCACATCCGCAGCTAAATATGATCAGATCGTGTCAGATGTGTGATCATTTGATGCCTTCTAGAACTCAGGTAGGATGTGTCAGGACTCAGGGTGGTCTCATCTCTTACTAAGCATGAATGATCTCTTCATGAAATCTGTTATATCAGATGTTATCCAATCCAGTGTGGACAGTAATTGTTTTGAAGCGTTTCTTTTCACTCCAACTGGCATCTTCCTACCTTTGGTTTAAAGTTGGTATGAAGGTATTCATATTTTGGACATCTCTGGACACAAACAACTTTAAGTGATAACTCCATAGTCAATCCCTATAGACCAACTTTTAGGTAAGTTTTGGTCACTTGCGGATTTTTAAATTAATATATTTTGATCAATTACATGTAATGAGTCCAGTTTTTAATAACATTATGTCCTTTTCTTCATTTGGGTAAATAAGCCAGACAACGTTTTATTGAACCAATCAGAGCACTCCTTCCTTTTCTTTAGTTTTCCTTGACATGTTCTTCCATTTCATTGTCTTGTCCAAGGTATTTTATTTTGTCCAAGGCACAAGGCCAGCCATTTAAATGGTAGCATTTTCTTCAGAGCCCATTTTCATTTTTTCAAATTGTCTAGTGTCAGACACAGTTACTACAATATTTGAGCTGTCATCTGCAAATCTTGGCAGTGTTCCATCTCTGCTCTAATTCTAGCCAGATCCAGGTCAGTCAAATCACACTACTGTGCAAACTGCCAAAGTTGTGAGCAGGATATCATATTGATTTCTTAAGGAGGTAGCTTGCAAAGATTACCACTTAGTGATGATAAAGTTTTGCTGCTATGAAGAATGTATTCAGAGTAATAAATGGACAAATGGACCCAATGACTGTGAGATGACTGCCTTACTATAACAGATCTACCACCATATCTAACTGTCGGGACAATGTTGGTGGTTTCCTTTGGCTTTCTCCATACAGAAACCTGTCCATGTACAGTAGCAAAAAGAGATTTATGAGCCCATATTCATTTTCCTGCACTGCTCAGAAGTCCAGGTTTTGTGCTCATTACACCAGGTTATACATTGCAGTATATTGGCCTTAGTTGCAAGAGGTTTCCAAATGGAAGCCCTACCATAAATATCAACATTGTGAAGCTCACAACATACAAATTTTGTTTGGACTGGATCACGTAAGGAGAAGATTCTGTTCAGTGGTAATTTTTGAAGCTGTTGTTTTATGATTTTTCACAACTAACATTGTTACAGTATGTTACTGTAGGTGTCCATTTATCCCTGTTGGTGAACTTAGACTCGTGATCACTGTTCTTCTTTACTAATGTTGTTTTTCTGCCGCTCATGGAATATAATATAACCTTAATGCATTTAAGGTAAATACATCAACAAGTTTTATGTGAGCAACACAAAAATGTAGTAAAAGCAGTAAAACACAGCAGGAAATTGAAAAAGAAATCTAAATCCTAAATCTGATTCACCTCCCTATTCTTGAAAAAAAAAACATAATAAAAAGCCATATCAAGTGAGATAATGTTTTGTTATCTGAAGCGTTTTTTTTTTTCAGAAAACATCAACTCTTTACTTGGGGCAAATTCTGCTCTAAAAATGTCAGTATGAAAAATGTCAGCTAAAGTCCTTCAATTTACTTGAGCAATACAATCATTGCCAATCTTGATCAGAGCAATTTGGTTCTCAACATCCCACGATTTGTTGTTGTTATACATATTCCATTTCAGAACTGCAAGCTGTTAGGTACAGGCTTGTAAACACCTCTATTTATGTATTTTTTAAAGCCACTAGTTTCAAACAAGGCGCCCACTTCTCCAATGGAAGACGATAAAACAAGAGGAAGGGGGTAACACAGTGCCACAATATGAGCACAGTAAACAAGAGGGCAGCAAGACACACGGGACAGGCACAATCTGAACAACGCTAGACGCCATCGCAACAAGATCCACCCATGTATGAGTTGGCACGCACAGACAGTCACAGGCAACATGCGGCTCATCTGGAGTGGTGAGGCAGTGGGTGGAGCTAGAGTGAACAGGAGGGGCTTGAGAAAGGTTACCGTCTGTCCGTACCATTTGTCTTACCACGGAGGATTGGGAAGATGAGGCAGAGTCAGCTGGCTTTAAAGAAAGGCAGACAAATAAAAGCTATAGTAGGGTAACCTACTGAGGAACAGAAGCATTCCAGCTTGTGGGCCCTGGGTCAAAGGGCAGCTCATCTGGTGCTGGGGGCTCTTGAGGCAACCGTTTTAGGGCTTCTGCACCTCTATATCTCTAACGACTGAACCAGTGGTGTAAACATAAGTCTTAGGGACATGAAACTATGAATTTTACAGTAGTAATGTGTGTGAATAAAATTTCCCCAAAAAAGTGTTAAGGAAGTGAGTGTGTTTAATCTCTAAAAATAAAGGTAAGCAAAGTTAAATATGAAACTTCAAGAGTAATCCTCGGAAGGCCAAAAAACTAAAAAACTAATATTCAGCAGGAAAATAGAAATGTACAGTACATCTTTTATCTATCTCATGTGGGGGTTATGCTTTTTTATAGAAGTTTTTTCTAAGTTAGCAGTCCACTCTCAATGAATAAACTGGACTGACTGTATACAGTACATAAAATCCTGTGTCTTAGTTTGCTCCAGGGATGTCAGAAGACAGAATGCATCCTGCAGTTGAGGAATGGAATTCCACATGAGCCTGTTTTATCAGTGGCTGTACATTAGATTAAGATCTGCACATTATTCTCAAAGTCTAGAATGAAGGGATATTTTCATCTTTCAAAAGTTTGCTTTATCTTGGTGGAAAGAATCCTTTGAGGAAAAATTTAAGGTTTATGGCAAAGCTATTTTTTTCTGTGTCGATAGCCACAAAATGAAAACAAGATGGATTTTATCACCTTGCTGCCATTCATATTGGTCAAGTACAAGAACAAACTATTTTATATGTTTATTTACTTTTTACTTTTACTTTTTTAAAAAGTGGTATGTCTGGTATGACCTTATTATTTGGAGAAAAAAAGGCTAAGAATCTTATATGAAAATTAGTTTAAAAAGTGGTGATGAAACCAAAATCATACAAAATGACAAAGTATAATGATAATGTGTGCCTCAAAAATATTTTTTCTTAATTTCTCATTCTCCGTGTCATTGAGTTTTTCTGAATATGTTCATTTCAATACCATTGGTCTTTAAAACAGAAGGGGGAGATGGGTTTCCAAAAGTCCCCATCTCAAAGTCAGCTCTGACTCCTTCCCTTTCCTGCAGGTTTTTCAGGGTGCTGGGAGAGACTGGTGTGTGTCTGAGAGGTGCAGCGAGGAGCTGTGTATTTTAGCATGCGACAGTATGTGAATACCGTCTTTATGCTGCAGCCACTGTTCAAACCCACTGCAGTTCTTTAAAAACTACCTAGACTTACATGGAGTATGTTAGAGCTGGAAACCAGATTCCTTAAATAGATATACATGTAATATATAAATTGGGATGGTGAAAATCTGTGAGCAATTGCCAACATTACCAATACATTTGATAGTGTAGCTTGTGAAAGATGTAGGCTATCGGCATGTATTCTCTGAAGCATGCACTGTCTTCATTCTCTTGTTTTCCAACAGCCCAGACAACAAAAGTGACAGACTGAGGACAAACCCAGCTGTCACTGATTATGTGGCTGGCTCAGAGCACACAGCCCATCTTAACAGTGCTTGATCTGTCATGAGCCACCACTGGAAGAATCCTAGTTACAGCTTAATTCCAAAAACCTCCAGACTACTCGACAAGCTAAATAACTTTGGATGTTAAGTTTTTCAGTTACACACATTAAATCCCCTCTTCTGCTATGTTTTGTCTTTGTTTTAAAGGGAACATTATGATAGCAAGAGGATTTTCATGTACGTCCATGATGTTATTGCAGATGTGGAAAATTAATTTGTCCTGCAGTGGGTTTTTTTGCAGTTAGATTTCTAAATGCATTTCTATATTGGAATTAGGGAAGAGTAAAGTTCAATCCACTCTTACAGTATTATTAACATCACAAGACGTTAGGACAATCTCAACAGTGCGTAGCTCTCAGACAGTATCATTGAGTACTTAGGGGAGCTAAATATATCTGAATCAACATAAGAACTAAATACATTTTACAATTTGTTTTCACAACAAACACCACTTTCATGTCTCATTCTCAGCCTTTAGGCAACCCAGGTTCTGACATAGAGATTCACTTCTGAGATGTCTATGGTATGATTTACCTATGCTGTAGGACAATGTAATTGATGATACAGTATAACACTTATAAAGTAATACAAGGAGGGAATGTAATCTAAAGTCTAGCCAAAAATGCACTGCTTTTACTTGCAATAAAACAACATACAGTACATAGAAAATCATAGATATACAATATTTGTATTAAAATATATATTACTTTATATTCTGTCTTACTTTCAATATTCCTACTATTTTGTGATATCATATTGTAAAATGTATTGTCGGATCATAATGAAATGGACTCGTGTTTTTGAATATGAATATAGCCAGCAGTGCATGGATAGATAACCCTTGAATGACCATTGCACTTCAATGTTTACATTGATTCAACTAGCTGCTGATTTCAATTCACTAGCCCTTCATCACTTAAATGATTCTTCCACTGGGTACTACAGTATGTCATAGTAAGTAACAGCTGGCTCAAACACAGATTAGCAAAACAATAGAAGTACAAATGTCATCTCTGAATCAGGACACAGAAATCCCTATTTTGGTTACACTTTATGAAAGGATGCTGCTTACAAATGATTTATATTTTATATACTGTGAATAATTAATAGAGAAACAATAAAGTACTCAGAAATTATTGCATATGGTTATTAAAATGAAAAAGGACATATTTTCAATATATTGTGGTATTGAAAGGCCTTTGTAAACATTTACCACATTTTAATAACCTATTTGTAATTCTTTTCTAACACTTTATAGCTTCTTTATTAACTATTTAAAATACAGTAATATGCCTCTGTTATCAAAAAAATAAGCAGCCCCTTAATATAAAGTGTCTGTTTTTTGTTCTTTCTCCATCTAAATTGGAAAGTTGGGTCAAGTGGACATTCTGGATAAACCCTGCCTGGGTTACCTGCAGGCATTAACTGAAGACCAGCCCACCCAACAAGACAAAGAGAGGAGACATTCAGAGAGGAGCAGTGCAGCGCACTCAAGTCAGACAGAAAGAAAATAGCATTCAAGGATATGCAGCCGGACATCAGTCAACAAGACACCTGAGCTGGCAATCATTTTCTTTGTTGTTTTTTAAGAAGCATCTGCCGGTTAATTTAATTGTGCTGTGTTTCAGCTTGGCTGTGGGTAGAAAAAAAGGACCAAGCAGGGTCTAAACAGGTATCTATAGGAGAGCAGCAGGAAGTCAGTCACGCCAGCTTGTCAGAGCTAGGCGGGCTTTTTAAAAATTATTCCACTGAAGGCTTTTATTTTTCTTTCGTTTTTATTAAATGCAGAAGATTTCTTAAAAGGTCATCGGAAATTAAAACACGGGAGGGGCTGTTTGTTTATGTTTTAAAGGAAAAGGAGATCATGCTAAAAAAACCAACAGAAATTTAACTCTCAAACCAAATCAAAGTTAGTGCAGAGAAGAGAGAGAGACTGTATAGCAGGAGGACGGCAGACATTCTGGTCTTCCATGACTGACAGTGCTCTGGCTATGTGAAAGAAAATCAGATAATCTAAATAAAAACCTTTATCACAGCATGGTTAAGTAGAAATCTTTTTACTCTAAAAGAGAAGGCATGACCCTCACAATTTCAAAACAAAATACAGTAGCCAGATATCCTGACATGCTGCTGAAGAAAAGAGGTTTGGTCTACCTTTATACATTTATAAAGCAATAAGGAAGCATGATGTCCTCAGCTTTAGCTTTAGAAAAAAACATGAAAATACTTCCCTTTAATAATGGCTCATCAGCTCAGGAAGGTCTATTGACACTAATCAAGACCCGTAACTAACTAGAAATACTGTTGGCCATAATTAGTACTGTACCTGAGAGGGCTGGAAAAAAATATTATCTAATTTAGGTCTTTTTACTTCAAAAAGGATACTTTTATCACCTTTTAAGATAAATAGTCATTGTTACAGAACACCACAAAGTGCAATGTTCTGTGAATTGTATCTCATAACAGCCAGAATCTACGCTCAGCTTCTGAGAGACTAGTAGTGTTCAGGCACATGCGACTGGGCAAACATACAGTTGGTCTGTAATGCTCTTAGATGTCCGGAGCTACATGCTCCACCACAGTGAATAGATCAGTGTGCATCTGTCCTTCTTGATTAACTCTAGAGACATTCTCTGGTGTCAACATTGTTAAAAACTGTGTGTGATTCAGGTATTTTGGGAACACATCATTATTAACAGAAACATTTGCTTGCAAACAGACCAGGTGCAATTCTGGCTCAGCAACTAATTTAGTTTAGCATACAGAACAAAGAAACCAAGGTACAAGTTGTTACCATGGTTGACAGGAGTCACATACTGTACTCCTGATACAGACAACAGTCAAACTAGAGAAATCAGGCTTAAGAATCAGCCTGATGAGCCTCTATCTCACAGTATGGACTTCATATATCCATGGTGAATAGATTTATTTTTAGTGTACCACATTTACTGCAGCTGTTTCTATCATATTCTGAAACTTTCTTTGAGAAATGTATTTGACTACTGCATTCCCACTAAATGTTTGAAGACATAATGTGTGTTTTTTTAAATGCACCCGATTAGAAGTAAAAAGGTTTAAGTATTTTGGTGTTATGTGGTAAAAATGTCCACTCTCATCCTGCTATACAGTTTCATTCATGCCAGAGGGATATATTGACTTTACCCCCCCAAAAAAAACAATTTGAAGGAAAGAGGAAAATAAATTAAAAAGTTGAGGCAATGCAACAGTCGAGATCCTAGCTAGTCTCAGACAGACAGAAAGTGAGGAGCAGGCACGTTCAAGGACAGTGGCTGTCTACTTACGTTCACCTCAGTGATTGCTATATCAACAACGCTACCGACAACAATTAAGGCGTCAAATGTATTCCATGCATCACAAAAATAGTGCTGCATAGGATGAAAGAAAAAAAACAGAAAGAAAAAAACAAAAGGAGAGAAGAGAAAAGAATAAGAAAAAGGGTTACACATGAACGTTCTTGAAATCATAAAAGTAAAACTGGAAAAAGAAAAAAAAGGACGACCATCATGCTTGTCAGCGATACTCATGAGTCGTAATCCGGGGGTTAGTCACGTCGTGTCTCGTTAGTTGCAGTGAAGTTGCAGTAAAATGTACAAGCAAATAAATGAAAGCTTGCTCTCGCGCAAGGTCTATTTTATTCCTACCTTCAACCCTATACCCACACTCATTTTGTGAAAAACCAAAAAAAAAATACCCCTTTCACCAGCAACCCCCCTCTCTGAGAGGCACAAGCTGTCTTTTTTTGGTGTTGAAACACGTGGACGGCAGGAAACAAACTCTGGGTAAAAAAACAACAACCACAAAAGTACGGAGTACAGTGACGTGGCAAAAAAGGGGGGAACCACAAAGAGAGAAAACAGAGCGAGAAAGAGAGAGAAACGGGACAGACAGCAGGTGTGGGAAAGGTAGTGGTATACTCACATTGATCTCACTGAGAATGACGTCTATTATGCTGCCAATTACGATGAGGAAGTCAAATACATTCCATGGATCACTAAAGTAACCCTATACAGGATGGAGAGGGCAGGTGAAGGGGGTAGAAAGGCAAGTTAGATAGGCATCATTAAAATGTGAAAGCGTTCTATTTTGTTATTTTTCTTCTGTTCCACTGCTTCCCTGGGTTTGATTCAGTGGGCCAATAAAAATTCAAAAGGGTCTGTCTCTTTACTGCCAAAAGGTGCACTAATCTGTGCAAGCAAACGCTTTCTCAAATTCTGGTGAAATTACTGGAAACACTTGACTAAAATCAGGCAGGGGACTCAGCCTAGAGTAAATACCCCACTTCAGGGAGAGTAAGGTGTTTTATCAAACCCTATTACAACTGTGTGTGATTCTTTGATAGAATTAGGGCCATAATACAGAGTTACAAAATTAAACTAATTTAAATTAAACAAATCTCAATTATTGTGTAATAATCCAGCAGTTTAGGATGAAGGCTAGATACAGTACAGTATGTACATTTAAATGGGAGATGTGTGCTTGCTGTATACTGTATGTAGCAAACAAGAACTGCTTTAAGTCTTGAGGAACATAGTCATTAAAAAAAATAAAAAAAGATGTATAGTTTGAGCAAATATTTGACCTTCATGTTTTCAGCAGATTCTAATGATCAGTTTGCTATACCCAGTTTCACAGGCAGCGATTTTAACAACTTCTGCCCATGTTTGAGGTTGTGGGTGTGTCTGTAAATTACGAGATTGTGAATTTAATTCTTTTAAATTACTTTGAAAGCCATGCCATCTCACGAGGCAAAACACACTAGCTATCGAAATCAGGATTGGTAGAACTGATGGTTTTAAAGAGTGGGGAAAAAATTGGTTTTAAAGAGACAGCCCACTTTTATTAATGGTGTTAACATACTGTATGATGAATGAATCCAAGCTATAAATTATTTACAAATATAGTATTACAAATTTACAAATATAGTGTAATTTTATGTTTTATATTTATATTTGGAGGAACGTTTGTTTAATGAACATGGACTTACTTGTGTTTTGTGCTATTATTTCTCTCTTTCATTTGAAAATGTAATAATAAGTATGGTAACACTTTGCAGAGCTGAGCAATGAGCTCCAAGAAAAGCTCTGAGGAGGTGGATTACTCCAAGGCAGTGCACCAAAGCCAATAAATGGAGTGGTATACTGTAACTCCCACTGTTAACATGAACACGCCTGAGAGATGAAATGGTGACTGGAAATTCAATTTCCTCTGGATAGTGCATTGGGTGACAGGGCATCGGAGAATGTACAGTACCACGTTGCACCAGTGAATATGATGTGTAGTTTTCATTAGTTAAGTACGAGGCGGGGCAGTACTGCAAAGTGACAGGCACTTTGCTCAGAGCGGCATTGGTAAACATTAAGGTGCAAGTTAGCATGGTGGAAGAGCAGATATGATTGTAGCAGTCTTATCGAGACAGCAGGGTGACAGTACTGATAGGATGAATGGACACTGGTTAGTAAGATGGGAGATCTCGTACTGAAAGCTTAGAGTTAGTCCAGCTCTTTAAATGAACAGGCAAAGATAGGTACAGCTTAATGAGCAGTTTTGAAGTGGTGAGATTTGGTGAATCTATGGCATTAAACAGTTATACATTAGAAGAACACTTTTGTTTTAAAAAAAAACAAATAATAAAATAATATTTGCAAACTAAAAAGTCCAGAATAGGATTCTAAAATATTTTTTTCAACTGGCTTCTCTGACTTAGCAACACATTTTCATACACATTAAATGGAGAGAATAAAAAAGAGAGATACATTGTAATTTCCAAAAAAGGATGTTAATTAAAACAATAACCCAAGCAGTAGCATGCAATTCCAAACATCATTAAACACACTTTACATACTGGGAATAAAATAAACCATCAACCCACTATTTACAAACATTTCATCATTGTACAGCTTACTAGTATAAAGGATCTGTGGAGCATTAGTAGGAGACTCCAGTAATATTTTCCACCATCCTTGTGGTTATTGTGGTTGACCCAGTTATGTTAAGGTGACAACAGTTAAGGTTATACTGTAAGTGAAGGAAAATGTTAATTATTGCACAACATCCCCAGGTATGACTTAATATAGGCCGTACAGCTGGTGCTTGCATGATAACATTAAATGGGAAAAAATCTGAAAAGAAAAAAAAATTATCATCAACATTAAGTGTGCAGTATGTATTTCAGAGTCCAAAGTGGGGATCTAACACAGGCAAATGATGTGCTGCTTGACAGCCTCAAGTTCAGTAACCCAGGAAAAAAAAAAAACACTGTTTTAATCTGCCAGTTTATAAAGTACTGGATTCTAAACTTTATTAAATAGATATTTTCACTTACCAACTTTAAATAGTAGTTAGGTACTGAAAAGTTATAGAACAACCAGAGTGAAAGTAGTTCATGTTCTCATTTTGTAGATACTGTAGTTTATGTCATTTCAAAATAGTTCAGTAAACTACATTACCCATTAGCACAGAAAACTGCAGTTTTTAACATTGCAGCCGCAGGTATAATTTTCAAATTTCCTTTAGCATGTTGTGACACTCATAGACAGAGTGTGCGTTACGAATATCTTAATGGTAAAACTTCACATAAGAGTGCCGTACACTGCTACAGGTTTTTTTTTTCCAGGTCAAAAGAATGACCCCAGCCCCCAAGTGTGATGCAACTGCAGCCAGGACAGTAACCCTAAGGAGAGAAACACTTTGCCTTTCATTTCTAATTCACAGCTTTGCAGCATGAAGTACAGAAATGAAGTACAGAAATGCAACAAACATTCCATTGAACACCATCAAGTCTTGGGCATCTCATTTCAACAAAAAAATTTGAGCTTGGCAAATAAACTTTCAGCAATATTTTCAGAATGAAATTTTGACAGTTCTGTCCTGGTTTACCATAGCACACTATGTGCCACCTTTTAACTCATTAATAATATAATATAATTATTGTATATACTGTACAATGTACTTTAAAAATATTTTTAAAAATCAGTCACTAAATGCAACATTAAAAACGAATGAATGTTTAATCTCCCAATACACCCATATTCATTTTGACAAGTCATATGCTAGTGGAATTCACATTCTTCTTTAACACTTTATTTCCTCCTGAATCTCAGTGAAAACAGACAGATATTCAGAGATACAGATTCAAAAGGAAAAAAAACTAACTGGTGCACAAATACAATGAAAGCATATTGATTGATGGGATTGAGAAAGCCTGGTACAGATAGCTAATGAAATCTATGCAAAACTAAAACTAGCATCATCCACAGCCAAACACCTGAACCTGCAGGGTTCTGCTATCCACCAGTAAAGCACTTCAGACCCATATTCCTTTTCTACTGTTTCTTAGCCAGAACAATGTGAGTTTAAGGGTGCTTTACATTAGAGATATCCAAGTGAGTTCTGGAAAAATTGTGATGTCTTTTGTATTCCATCCCAGATGAGCCTTGTCTTTCTTAGTCAAATTAGTATTAACTGAAAACTTGGATTACTTTTTTCATCTTCTGTACAATGTGTCAATGGTCTATTTTAAAAACCCAGCTTTAAAAACCAATTGATATCAGACTGAAGATCCCACAGTGCTCCACGAAGCTAGTCTGAGCAGAATCCATGATGGTGGGTCAAGACCATGCACTGAGACACTAAACACACAGTTCTTTGGTTACTTCAGAAGGGGCAGTACCCATGGCATGTGTGATTGAATAAGTTATGGAACCTATTTTAGGCACATAACAGTTGATTTTGACAAGTGGAATTCTGAAATAACAAACTGACTATGACATTGTTTCACATTGACTATGAATAACAGTTACAAGATTATATACCAAATCCCAGCTGAATCGTTTATACAGTAATTGGGTGCACGGTGAGGTTAAAAATGTCTTTTTTTGTACTGTATATGGCTTTAGCTTAAAAAAATGATTAAATGATTGAAAAGCTTTTCTATGGTGGTACGCTCTTCAGAGTCACAAGTCAGCTGGGCTTCTGTATTGTTTTCTAACTTAGAATTTTGATATACCCAACGAATCTGGAGCATGTAATTGTGTGTATAATGTGATTCACATCTTGGTTTGCAGCTACAAACCTTGTGACTGTAAAAAAGGGACAAAGAAGATGTGAAGACAGACTCCCCCAACCTGCCCACCTTGGAGCAATTCATTTTTTAACTCTATTTTAAGGCTACGTAGCCACATACTGTACGAGAGATTCAGAACTGATTGGAGGACAGGTGCATACCTCACAGACAGAACTGCATGCCTGTAAGTACCCAGAAGGCTGCAGGGCTTGCTGTATTGTTGAGACCCAAGTGATCCCAGGAAAACTAATTTCACCTTAACCTCAGCTGTGCTCCATCATGTGGACACCACTATTTGGAGGATCTGGTCACTGCTGGCTAGTGACTTGACCAGAACTCTTGGACAAGTGTAATACATTTTCTGCTTGAGACACTACAATTATATTTTGTATATGATGTTATAGATCTCCGGTGACTTATTCCCGGCTTCTAGAATTTTTTAAATTATGCAAGCTTTTAATAGGTTTATGTTTATTACTATTACTGTTATTCTAAGTATTTTAAAGTGCACAGTCTTTTTAGTTATTATCCCTGTCAGCTCAGGTTCTTTTAGGAGATGGTGACGAGACTACTATGACCTTGTATATCAAGATAAAAATTCCTCAGTACTTCAAGGCTGTGTTCCTTAATTTAGTCACATGTAATTGAAAATAGAATTTGACAGGGATTTTTTTTGCTGCATTGCCATAAAAATCTGATATTTATGGAGCCCCTTTGTAATATGAGTAAACCCGTGTTTGTATGTGTGGTACAGGAGACAGGATAAGGTATATTTCTCATAATTATAGCGAATTTGATATTTTATAGTTTTTGTATACATCTATAATGTATACAATGTAATATCATTTTATATAAACTATAAGTATAATCTATAAGTAATCTGAGGCTGTGGGTAATGCTAAAAATAGACATGGAAACAGAAACTGACATAGAAAAGAAAATTGGCACAGTTACATCATGGGAATGGGAACACTGATATGGATATGAATGCAGAGCAAGCTACAGGTAGCTATTTCTGTAAAATCTCTCTTCCCTAAACACTGCAAGATGTAACCTAAAGATCTGTTCGCTAAGAAATAAAGTTAAGGTGTCTTAACGTTAATGTTTTTGGATGCATTTCTGCAGTGTCCATCTATCTACCCATGAAAATTATCTCCATCTAACTACTGTAAATGAATACATGTCAAATACAGTTTGAAATATTATCAAAATACTGTACCTTCAATACTGTAAATATGTTTCACCAGCTATCTCCCCCTACCATGTCCAGGTGGAATGGACAATGGTTATTGAATAGGCATATCCAGGTTACAAACACTATACCCACAGGGCCAGGTAGACGACAGTTGTAATTCACCCATAGAAAAACTGGGTTTTCAAATCAGCTATGTTGCCAGTTCTAAGTGAAAAGATGCAGGGCTCTCAAACTGACTTAGTTTCCTGCTTTTACTGAGGCTGGGCCGTACCATCCTTCATTCAATATAGGCTTGTCTGCCAAATGAGATAATGTGCACTGGGTAAATGGAAATCCTTAGAAGTACTGATAGGTTATTGGTAAGGGAACTCAGACCTTGCCTCCTTATTTTTTATTTGACTTGTGAGGCCATCTGAATCACAAGCTTCGGTATTCTTATCAGAGGAGCTAGGATGCACAATGAATTTCCTGCATGCATTTTGATGGCATTTCAAATTGCATTTAAAAGAATGGATCAAAAATGGAAAATGGGCAGATGGATGGATAAAACAGAAAGATATTTGTTTATCCCTCCAAAAATATGAACATTAAGATGTCTTAATTTTATCTCTTGGTAGGTTGTATTGGCAGCAACGTGGAGCAATAAATAGGTTTCTAACTGCTGTGGGTTCTAATCCCAGGTGAGACACTGTTTTTGTTCACTTGATAAAGGTATTTCAGCCAAACAGTAAAAGAAAACAGCTGTGTAGTTGGGTGCGAATGTACTGTATGCTGCTTAGGATAACAGCTTCAACCAAATAAGTTATTAATGTCACTGTGTCACACAGCTAAATTTTCCATTAACCTCCCCTCCCCCCCAATTTCAAACTAATATCTGTGTTGTTTATGTTTAGCACTAACTTGTATTGGCTAGCTTTTGTTTTCTATGCAGGAACTGCAGGAACTGAGATCTTGTTCTTTTAAAAATTTCCAGCTCCCAATTCCATCCAAGAAAATACACATTCTTCATGTCTGCTCTGTATATTGAAAGTACGGTACACTAACAGGACTCCAAGTACCCAAGTACTTCCATACCCAAGTAACTGGCCTTTAAAGAAGGGCTAAGTTACACAAGTCGCACTTACTCTTTAACAATGTTATCATTTTGACATACAGGAAAGGGTGTTTGGCCAAGGATAATTTTCAAGATCATAATGGAAAATCAATGGTAAGCCTTAGAAATGATAACCACATCAACAATATATGGTCAACAACCCATGCATTCATGCAGTACTGTACAAAGTGGAAGTGTACGCAGAACACACATCTATATTGATACTGAGTTTAAACACAAGTCTAAAAGTATTAAGGGAAGGAAAAGTGTTTGTCACTTTGATATATTAACCCCTTATCTCCTGGATTCCTTGGAAATCTCAGGACATTTCTTCTGAACAGGTGTCAATGTGGTTCTCCAGGGTCACACAAAGAGATACACACTAACTATTTTCCCAAGACAAAAGATTGGTGAGCAAATGGGTATTGCATTTCCTGTGGGGGTCTGTGCTGTCTGAAGATCCAATGCCTAGTTCTTATTGACTAAAATGGAGAACAATAGAACTCACCTTTAAATACTGTACATAAGCATGGCTGAAAAACAACATTTTCAGTGCTTTCACTAACACAAATTCTACTTCAGAAGACACCAGAACCTCCAGGCCCCTCAAAGTGGCAGCTTCCTGGGTGAGGGAGGTGGCTACTTACCCGTGGCTTGAAGGCGATGAGTTTGAGGATCATTTCCACAGTGAAGAGCCCAGTAAACAGCATGTTGAGTACGTTCATCGCCTTGTTGAAGGACGTTGACTGACCATGATGCTGAGAATGAGCAAAATAGGCAAAGATTAGCAAATACCTCTAATGAGATGTTTTATTCCATTTATTTTGCTAATTTTCTAGCATTGCTGATTGTTATTTTAATGTATCCCCCCCTTTCCACAAACCAAAACCCTAGTATTAGAAAGTAGAACTGTAGATTACACTTAGGAATTTATCTAACATACACTATCATTAATTCTTTTCATCAAAAAAAGTATATATCATTGAAACACACTACAACATTACACTTACACATACTGTAAATTACAATACCGTTAGGTACAGTACATTACATACAGTACATTGAAGGCATACAATGAAGTATAACTGTACATAGGAAATGCTATACAGTATGTAAATGAAATGCATTAAATTATTCTCATCATTACACAGTATAAACTCATTATATTTTCAATTTTTTTTCATGTTACGTTTCCTTATATTTATTTTTCCTTATGAGGGTTACTACGCATCACATACGGCTTCCCAACCTTCTCCAGTCTGAGAGTTTACTTACAGTATATTGGCATTTTCACTTATATGTGCAATAAAAGTAGTGGACGGTAAACTCTTCTTCTGTTTAACAAACATTATAGCAAAACCGCTGTTTAAGGATATCTCTAAAATCCTTATTTTCAAAGCTATTTATTACAGGCAGTCAATTATCGTGCCGCTTTGTGCTCTCATTTTCAAAAAATCCTTTGTATTCCTAAAGCATGAATGGAGTTCTAAATCCTTTCTGTTCAGTTGCAGGTTTTGTTTTCTGCCTCTCTTCCTGTTCTCCCTGAGTGTCGATATTCTTTCTTCCCTGCTCCCTGCTCCTTCGTAACTATCCTGTCTTCTGTTCTTCCACATGCTATTTATGTGCTGTTTTCCATCTCTCCCTCCCGCTCCTGAAGAAGGCTCCACAGCCAACACGTTGTGTCTGTTTTCTTTTCCTTTCAGCATGGACTAAACCTTTACCTGTGCCTTTGATTCCTAATGCATGCCCTACTTGCATTGCAAAGAGCAACAGAATATAATGTGGTTTTGCTCTGACAGCAATTATAAAGTAGAGGAGCTTAAGGTCCCTGTTCTCAAGCTTTGTGAACTTTTTGAACTGGTTGAGAACCCTGCTGTGGTGAGACAGTGAAGCAGACTTACCTGCATGGCCAAGCAGATGGTGTTGAGGAGGATGAGGATAAACATCAGGTACTCAAAGTAAGTGGAGTTGATGACATACCACACCTTGTACTGGTAAGGGTTCTTGGGGATGTACCTGCGCAGGGGCCGGGCTTTCAGGGCATACTCCACACACTGACGCTGGAGGCAAGGGAAACATAAGCATGATAAGATCACCTTATATCTTTCTAAATATCTAAATATTCTCCGCCTCTTCTGCACCCCTTCCCAGGCAATTCTAGGCCCACAGTCTCAGTGCTCCCTTCAATTCTTTTTTACAATTGTTTCATTCTTGCAGGTAAGTCAGTTGATAATTGATTCTCATCTACAAATTACATTGAAATACTAAAATATCACTCTCTGGCACTTACTGACTCTTTTACAGCTCTCAAGTGCTGCATTCAAACATGAGTGAACATGTTTTGTATTTTCCTCTGCTGTACTGTAAACTTTAATTATTTGTCTATAGTACAAAGATTTTCTACTATCTACATTTCTGCACATTTTTACTATAATTGATGCAAAAGGGTTCACAAAGTGAATGACTTTGAATGAATAAATAATCTTTATCCTACTCCTTGATTAATTAAACTGATGATTGACCCTGCAAATAAAATGCTAATTAGAGTTTAATTTACTTCTCCTAAACACTGCTATCTAGTATTTCTGGACCACAAAACTATGTTGAGTATGCCTTAAAGTGTTTTGAAAAAATACTTTATACAGTTTATACTGTAAGTTTATTTCTATGACAACTATAAATTATAATTTGGAACATTTACTGAGGCCCCTCTGAGATGATTCACTGTACAGTTAATGCTTCTTTAGATGTTAATTCATGCAGCAATGTGGTTGATCACAATATTTAATTCAAATGCTCTCGGCATGAGATTATCATTTTTGAATCCCCTTTTCCAAAACACTGCCACCAGCACTCTGAAAAAAGTCTCCAGAATAACATCTGAACATTTCCTTGGATAAGACTGAAAATACACCACCATGAGGTACCATTTCTACCACACAATGTCTTCACACAGTGTCTCCTAGATAGACAGGCTAATGTGTTAGATCATTCTGCCCCATAATCAATATATTGTGTAACAGCATTACAGTTTGTGGTACAGTAGATATTGCTCAGGGTTTGTAAGTATGCAAGGATGCCTTTTCTTCAAGCTTATCACTTTCTGGCACTTACTGACTTCTGTACAGCTCTGAATTAATGTGGTTAATTCAGAGGTGCAGTTTTCCTATTTTTTAGTCTCTTTCTCATAGCACGTGATTATCATTCTACAAGTGAGTTCTGTTGTCCCTACAGCCTAAAGTAAATCGAATTGACGTCTGGCTCTCATACTCTTTTGAGGACAGTCTCCTAGAATTTGTGTAGAGTTGTGTGGAGAAATGCTGCACACTTGTTAGCTTCTCTCACCTGGTTCTTGTCCAGCTCACAGTTCTTGTACTCCTGCTCACCCTGCTCCTGGAAAGTGACTATGACGAAACCCACGAAGATGTTCATCATGAAGAAAGCGATGATGATGATGTAGATGATAAAGAAAATGGAGATCTCTACACGGTAGTTGTAAACGGGTCCCACGTCTTCGGTGTGGGAATCTATAGCCCTGTAAAGCAGACTGGATATTTGGGAGAAAAAAAAGAGGGCATTGTTGAAATTGAATTAAAGCAGGCATGTCAGGGTTTGTGAAAAGGTACATATTGCAGTGTCTTGTGATTCTGACAATTGTTAATGTAAGAAAAAGATTTTCTTAATTATATTTATTGAACCTTTACCTGAATATTTCTTAAACAGCTGCAACTCTTAAATACAATTTTCCTACTATATCTTGTGCTGGATGCTAGGTTTGAAAATTCCTCTCTTTGTAGGATGGTTCTCTAAAAGTCCTGATGGAATATAATTTATAAATTTATAAGAATGTCTATCATGTTTACTGGGAATGTTTGACACAGTGTACTTCTCATATTTCTGTACATAAGAAATTGAAAACCGATTAGATGTTAAACAAAGCATTGAAGAGCCATATAGTATACTGTATGCTTGCCATTTTTTGGGGAACTTTATTCACATTTTCTCCCCCAAAATGAAATTTATCATTGAGTATATGATTTTGCGTAGTGCAATGCTGAGCATGCACCAAATCTGGAAGAGCAAAGACATCAGCCTCACAACCAAATGCAAAATGGTCCATTCTATTGTGTTCCCCATATCAATGTATGGGTGTGAAAGCTGGACCCTGAAAAAAGCTGACCGAAAGAGGGTGGATGCTTTCAAGCTATGGTGCTGGAGAAGACTGTTACAGATACCATGGACAGCAGGGGTCACCAATAAAGAGGTTCTGGAGCGCATCAAGCCAGAAATTTCACTTGAGGGAAAGATCACCAGACTCCAGCTCACTTATTTTGGTCACGTGATGTGATCAGATTCATTGGAGAAAGCAATGATGCTTGGAATGGTCAGTGGAACAAGAAGACGAGGCCGCTAAAGAACGCAGTGGCTCAACGCCATCAAAACGGACACAGTCGGATCCGACTGACCGGATAACATCATCATCATATGATTTTGAAATTAAGACCTGATTGTAGATAACAAGCAATTGAAGCAACTGGTTTAGTAATTTAATTAATTAAGAGGTAAGAGGGGAAACATATAACAGAAGGCACAGGGGTACTGCAGGACCAGGACTGGGTGAAAAGGATCTACAACCAGCAGGTCTAAGTTACCTAAATTCAGGCTAAGCAGTTGGGATCCATGGGATAGTATACTGTACAGTATATCAGTATTGCAGAGGAGAAAGGTTAATGTATTAACTAGATTTCTGACCACTCATAACTTCATCAAATCAGCCATTTTCATTTCTGAACAAAAAATGGTTCTTTGTAGAAATTGTCCCAAGACAAAAGCTCTTACTCTTTTCTACAAACATATGTTTAATATGAACGTCTTTCTGAGGCTTCAGGAACAACTGACTTACTCTGGCCATCCTTCAAAAGTCGAGACAGTGAAGAGAGCCATCATCCCATGCAGCACATCATCAAAGTTGAAGTCATTGTTTTCCCATTTGCGCTCTGCCTTCTCGGGTTGATTCACATCCCCATCTTTATAGTGGATAAAATGCCCCCTGTGGACACAGAAGGACATGTTAAGGGTATGAGTGAAGAGAGCTGTCTGTTCAGACAGGTTTCCAATCTTAATATAGAATTTCTCTTATTCTTTGGGTACAGTAGTAACATGTTATGTTGATGTGACTGAAGCCCATTTCTATGTTGAAGGGGTTCAACTGCTTTTTAATGTTTTTATTCCTTCTTTTTATGGCCTGTTTTTTTCTTTTTGATTTTAGAACTTCACATACATTAATAGAATATTAGATACCTTTAATTGTGAAGATCCCCACATATTTTAACATAATTCATTGAGGATCAGATCCCATCATAGAGCATGATCTTGAGGTGACTGTGACCATGCATTCAATGGTTGAACATTAGAGAAAACAAGCAAAACCTCTTTATTAAAGTGCATCTGATTATGTGGTCATATTGCCTCAGTTGTTTTTTTCTTTATTGATCATGAACATATTTTGCATAATTAAATTGGCTGCATCTGTACTAGTTCATCACGCTCACTTTTACATCCTGGAAGAACCAATGACTATATCCTCAGTTTTTAGAGGAACATGATTACATGTAGATGTTTTTTTAAAATCTTACCAAATGACCAAAAATGGAAAAATCTTGGAAAATGACCAAATACTGTAGATCCAGCCACTCCTCCACTTTCTAACCACTTTATCCAATACAGTGTTGTGCGAGTGCCAGACCCTACCCCTCGCAAGCAACAGATGCTAATCAGGAAACACCCTGGATGGGAAGCCAGTCCATTGCAGAACTCATCCAGACACTCACACATGGGCCAATTTTCCCAGAAGTCAATAACCTACCAGCATGATGGGAAAAAACAGGTGCACCCTGGGGAAACCCATGAAAACTCAGGGCAAACATACAAACTCAATGCAGATATTATCCTAGGTATGAAGTGAACACTGAACCTCAGAGCTGAGAGGCAGCGATGCTCCACTGCACCACTGTGCTACCCATGATCAAATCATATTACATCATTTTGGGATCCTGACAAGTAAGAAAAGTATGTATATTATACTGATAGGTGTTTATCTACCTGTGACAGGCTGTCAGCTGGTGTCTGTTTAGGTACTGTAGCTGCAGCTGTAGGGAACTGAAGAAAAGGTTTTGTGTGGGGGTGTAGCCACACACTGCACTGGCAGTGCCATATCCAGTGAGTGCCACAGAGGTATATGGAATGTGGCTGTAGATGAGACTATGTAATTTTGTTGCAGTAGAGGATGCTGAGGTTGCGGTCGTCAGGGATGTGGCAGGATTAGACAGCGGACTGGCTACAGGCTGCAGAAGCCAGAGGGTGAATGTGAGATGGGAGGCGGGGGGGAGACAAGGCCTGGATACCAGAAGGCTTTCAATCAGAGACACTCAGGACCTGCTGCTAGCATGCTTGTTTTTGAGAGTGAATGATGTGAAGGAAGACAGCAGGTAGAGCAGACCGGTTCAGGGGTGGGGGGAGTTCTGACAGTGAAGTTCCTAGGGAAATGAGCTTTCGGACTGCAGCAGGTCTTGTGGTCATGCCCAAGTGACAGAATAGTGGTGGTGTGAAAGGAAAGTATCAAGCCTGCATGCATGCGGAGTTGGAAAAACCAGAAAGCAGAAGTCTCAGTTGGAATCTGTCATCCCTGGAGGAGGAAGGGTGAGGTACTGATTGTTATGCTTTGGCTTGTACTTTGGGTGAACACCAGAGAGCAGGAAGTACAGCCGGAAGTACCCTGGCTCTGTGTTGCAAGAGTAACTGAGGTTGCCTGCCAAACCATGGCAATGTGTGACATCTGGCATGTCTGTACAGCAAGCAAAGAGAAGGATCTTGGCAACATGGCATATTTTGAGTTTTGCTTATGTATTTCTGTGAAATAAGAGTGATAATTGTGTTTTAGGGCTGTTAGCTGTGCATAGTGTGAGAGAAAGAAAAAAAAATGATGGATGTGAGTGTTTGTTGGTGAATAAGGTCACGTATAGATGAGCCTGTAACATCTCCTGTGGGAACTGTCTGTTATAGTACCTTTTAAAGAAGAGAATGACCCTGTACCTTGGAATGTGTCGGGAAGAGATATTTTTTCAGAGGATACAGACTTACAGGCCAGTGGTGAAACATTACACTACTGTGCTTATTTTACAAGGTACTATAATTAACAATGTGTAATTATAGTACCCTTAGTACCCTATAGTTATTAATGTGCCCTATATTTTATAAGAGATGTTACATCTGTCTGGTAGTAAAGAATTTTGATAATTTATAATATAATAATTCTGATGAACTTTTTTGAACCTGAATTAATTTGTTCTCAGAGTCATGTCAATACTGGGCCTACCATGGAGCATTTGTCAAAAAGAAAATGATAGCTACCACAATAAAAAGATGTTACATGTACCGGTATACTTTTTAACAGTTAGCACTGAAAATATGAGCACTGACACTGTCAGAGCTTAAATCTTCTGACCTTGATTCATTTTTATTAAATTAACAGAAGCAATATTAATAAGAGTAGGTCACTGCACAGAGATAGATAAAATTATCAGACTTCTCAACCTCAAGGTTCTACATTATTTCTTGAATGTAAGCAGTTTATGTGCAGCATGACATACAGAATATAAATTTTACCAAAAAGCTTCACTCTGATGTCTGATTTTTAAGTTTATGTCCATTGATCAAACTTGAATCATCAGAGATGATTAGCCCTTACATGTCAGATTCAAGCAACCAAGAAGTAAAGAATTAGACTGATTGGCTAAACATCCCACCATTTGTTCATAAAGAATAGCTAATCTAACAAATGAGGCCGATTCAACAGTACCAGCTAACTTTAGTAGTGACAATTTCATGGACCTCTTTAACAATAAAATTAACAACATCAGTCTTCAACCACAATCAAACAGGCTGAAAAGAAGTCTAGAACAAAAACAATGTGTGCACCTTTTCAGTGTTTTTCAATTACAGTAGTTCATGAACATGAACTAAAGAAATGAATTATTAGGACAAAATCAACCCCCTGTCCTCTAGATCCCATCCCCACCCAACTAGTTAAAGATTCCCTTGAAGTACTGGCGGGACCCTTGCATCAGGCATTGTAACTGACCAATTTAAAGTAGTGGTTGTTGACCATTGCTTAAGAAACCAAATTTGGATCCAGTTAGTTCTGACTACAGACATATCTCAAATGTTCCATTTTATCTAAAATTCTTGAGAAAATAGTTGTGGCTCAACTTCAGTCTTATCTGATTTGAAATAATATACTAAAGAAATTCCAATCTGGTTTCCGCCAAGGCAACAGCACTGAAACTGAATTAACAAGAGTTGTAAATGGTATTCTGATAACAAATTATGCAGGGAATGCAACAGTGCTTCTGCTCCTATATTTTAATGCTGCCTTTGACACAGTTGACCATTGTATTTTGTTACACAGTCTTGAGTCTGAGGTTGGCCTATGTGGAATCATCCTTAAGTGGTTTACCACCTATTTAACTAACCGTTTTCACTATGTTCAAACATCTAATATTTGTACTGCTTTGTCACTGTCACCAGTCAAATTTGGGATACCACAGGGATCAGTGCTCGGAACAGTATTGTTCTCTCTGTACATGTTG